GGAAACTCCTTCACCTCTCCCAGCCCCTGGCTCTGCTCCCAAAGGGGAGATCGGCTGATACGAGATCGGGGCTCCACTTCTGTGGGGTGGAGCATTATAAGTAAGCCTGTCTTGGGGCAAATCTGCCTTTTTAAACCACTCCAGTAAGCTGGGGGGGAAGATGGTCAGAGGCCATGTTTTGGAAGCTGCCCTGCCCCAGGAGAGTATTCGTTTCCACACTGGATCAAACTCAGATCTCCTTGGCCGAGGCCTCCCTCACCGTGGAGCGATAAGATCCAGAGGGCTAAGATGTGGCGGCCTCCAGAGGACGTGCTGCCCGCTGGCCTTTTCTGACTGTAGGTCTCAGCTGCAGGCAAGAGAAGGTCTCTTGTTGCAAGGTGGGGATCAAAGCCACAGTTTGGATGTAATAAGATGGTCTTTTGCCTGGTCTCGACCTCTCGTTTTGTGTTTTTCCAGAGGGATGACTTGTGACTCTGGGAAGCAGGACTCCTGTCCTCTCCTGCTAGCACGGCTGACCCTCGTCATCATACCCAGTCTGTTCTTCAGCATCCACAGCACCCTGCACTTCAGTGTTGGCATCTTGGGTGCCGACTGAAGGAGGGTGGGAGCCACTGAGTTTATGCTGTTTCCTGCCTGTCTGGTGCCTTGAGTTCTTAATCTGGAATGTGATTTTGGCAGCTTCTGACCCAGGGTGCCCCAACTCCAGTTCTCCACGCCGCAGCCCCGGGCAGCTAAGCAAAGGCACCGCTGAGCTTCCCCTGTGGCACAGGCTCTGTCCACACCCAGCCTGCCCAGGCTCAGATCCAGGGGGAGCTCAAATCCAGAAGGAAAAGGCCTGGGAGGGGCATTCTTTGCTAGGGGTGGGGTGTCAACTCAGGTTCTTTGGGGCCTCAGGGTCTTAAGATTCCTCTGAGGTTGGACCTTCCTCAGGGGACTCTGGGAGGCCAGTCCTCCAGGCCCTCGGGATTCAGAAACCCACGCTGGTCCGGCCTTCACGCCTCCAGAAAGCTGAGATCTGCTCCAGGGTGACCCGAGGCTGGAGGCCCCACTCAGGATCAGGGCTTCCTGGCCGCTGTCTCTGGGCCTGGGGGCTCCCTAGATGCACACTGGCTTCTGGCCTCTGTTCAGGCTCTATCCAGCTCACCAGGCCTGAGGCGGGGGGCCTCCAGAAGGTGCTATGGGCTGGGACCTTGGGTGGGATCTGGGGGACTGAGGAACTGGAAGGAGAGTTTGGGGTTGACAGAGCAGGTGGGGCTGTAGCTCGTGCCTCCAAGGTGCCCCCTGGGGTGGGAGGGTCTGGGTCCCGGTCCATCAGCAGGGGAACCGCTGAGCCATACCAGTCCTCGGAGCGCTCTCTGGGTGTGCCCATGGGCTCGATCCACAGCTCTCCTCCAGGGCGCCAGACCAAGGTGGGCGCATAAGTGCTGGGGTCTGGGCGGAGAGAGCGGCGGAACAGGCGTTCAGCCAACACGGCCGTAGTCAGGAGGAAGATGGCAGCCAGGGCAGCCAGGGCCAGCATGATGGGGATGCAGGGCCCGCAGGGCAACAGGGGCCAAAAGGCTGACTCCGATGCAGGAGGCCCCTCCATGTGCCCAGAAGGCTGCTCTGGAGTCGGAGGCATCTGGAGAGACGGGTCAGGAGAGGAAGCACATGAGACAGAGTCAGCACAATCTAGAGAGAGGAGCAGCGGGTCCATAAACAAGAGTGAGGAGACAGAGTCGGGAGGAGCTCAGCGACATCTGGCTGAGAAACAGACCTAGGCAGACAGAGGAGCAGAGAGGACCCAGAAAGGGTGACAGGAGTCAGATGGCTGCTGGCCAGAGAGACAGGGGCCCACCTCGGTCCGCAACCAGGTCTTCCTTCCTGCTCAGAATCTCCAGCCCCTTTCTGGATGCTCCATTTCCCTCTCAGACTCTAGGGTGCCTCAGACAAAAGGGCCCCAAGGGCTTCTTTCCTTCTGTCTCAGTCCCTTAGGTCTTGCTTGGAAGAGGAAGTGCTGGGTGAGGAAATGAGAGCCTCCCTGCCCAGCCCGGCCCCCGTGTGTGTGACCCGCTCCCGGCCACCTCGGCTGGCACCCTGGATGCTGCTTCCCCCAACAACTCCCCTTGGAGCTGGGCTTGCTCTCTGAGGCTCCCCCAAGCTTGCTGTTGTGCCGGGTCTCAGGTGTCACCTCTGCACCTGTCCCTGCCTCTCCAGCTTTGCTTTGTCTCTGCCCGCCTCTCTCTGTCCCCCCAGGTCCCACACCTGCAGCGGCTGCCTCACTCCCTACCTCACCTCGGTCAGTCCCCGGGCTTCTGGCTCAACTTTGGAGTTGCTCTTCCCTGTGTGAGCAGAGGGTGCAGGGCAGTTGTCTCTGATGAGGGCGGAAAGGAGGGCACCACCTATTGTTGAGCAACCGTGCCCTGGGTCCCCCAGCACCCCAGTGGAATGTTTCCAAGGCAACCTGGGGGGATGTGGTCACTGCGGTGGGGAGGCGTTTCCTGGCAAGAGGTGGGGCCGGAATGGGCAGTGGCTCTGTTGAGCTCAGTGTCACCCCATAGCCAGGCCCCAGGCCCAACATGCACTCGGAGGTCAAGAAAGAGACTCTGGCCCGTCCAGAGCACCAAGTCTCCTCGCTCTGCCTACTCCCAGGCGGTTTCCCTGCCCCTGCTGTGCGCACTGGGCCCCACCAAACCCACTCCTGCAACCTGCCCCACCGCGCCTTCCTGCTTGTCCCACCTTCTCCATGCTTTTCGTGAATGTATATCTCCTTGTCTTCAGACCATTTAGCCTCAATTTTGGTTGGAAAATATCTGTGAGGTGAGGCTTGGGTAGCAAAAAATGTCAGGTCTCTAGGAAGGATCCAGGCTAAAAAACAGGCTGAGGCCCGTCTCCAAGACAACAGACATTTGCCATCTGGTCTTTCTCTTGGTGCTTAGGGTCGGAGGAACCTGGGGCCAGGGTGTGACAGAGCATCTCAGCTCCTAGACTGGAGGCCTTTCAGAGATTGTTTAGTTTGGCTCACTCACTGAAAGCTGATGACAGGGAAGCCCTAAAAGGTCGGTGTTGGGCCTTAAGTCACACATCTCACATATGTCTGAGGACTGGGGAAACACAGGCATAAATTCCTGGTGTGGCAAGCCACCTGTACAACACAATTCTTCCTAGGTGTGTTAACATTTTGTTTTGCAAAATGACAGCCATTTAATGTGAAAGGCTACAAAAATATGTTGAAATGTTAGTGTCTTACAAAAGATGGTCACAAGGGTAGCCTGACTCAGATTGCTTTGTCCTAGAGGTTTTGAGGGATGGCCAGAAGGCGCACAAAGTGTAACAGGGGGTGGCAGTAAATGGAAGAAAGAGTCTCAAGGCTCTGGGCCTTATGACATATGCAGAAACCTGATGAGATTAGAATTGAATGAGATTATAGGCCTTAAAATAAAACCTGAACTTAATTTAATATCACTGAACAGGACACTTAAAAATGGTTATGATGGTAAATTTTCTGTTATATGTTTTTATGACAATAAAAATTTTATTTTTATGTTTTTCTTTTTAACATTTTTTATAGTTATAGTCAGTTTACAATGTTGTGTCAATTTCCAGTATAGAGCACAATTTTTCAGTTATACATGAACATACATACATTCATTGTCACATTCTTTTTCACTGTGTGCTAACACTAGATCTTGTATACATTTCCCTGTGCTACACAGTATAATCTTGTTTATCTATTCTGCATATGCCTGTCAGTATCTACAAATTTTGAACTCCCAGTCTGTCCCTTCCCACCCGCCTCCCCCTTGGCAACCACAAGTTTGTATTCTATGTCTATGAGTCTGTTTCTGTTTTGTATTTATGGTTTTTTTTTTTTTTTAGATTCCACATATGAGTGATCTCATATGGTA